CACCATTAGGATCTCTCTTCCTAAGAAAAGCTGGGTTAGATGTTCCTAGATTTCAAGAGGGGTTTATTAGCCAGCACTCAAGACTTTCCTGCAAGATGGAGATGCACATGGTACTTAATGAGCTAATGAAATCTCCCGCCAGCTGCCCACAATATAACTGGGGTTTAATGTTGATCAGGTTACAATCAGTACAAATGAGCTTGGACTCTGAAGGAAAGCAGTGAGGGTAGTAAAGAAGTGCAAACTGATTTTCTGAAACATTTTTTCATCTCCTCAAAAGATCCTTTCCTTGTATCTGAAAGACAATAATCTTTTGTAATGCAAATTAACACTTTAATTGGTTTTACATTTGAATGCAGCTATGTTCTAAAAAGTAGTTCTTTGCAAACTCATCCAATGAATTCATTAGCAAAATTTGTCCTGTTTAAAAATTTGGAATATATTCTTTCTTTAGCACTGTTGAAATTGATGCTGGAATAGCACCTCAGGATTAACTAATTGTGACTGTTTGGGAACTGTTTGCAAGATGTCAACTAAGCAGACAAACTGTAAGCACTACATTTGTGGCAAAGGGGCTGTCTAAAAACATTTCTACAGATGATATACCAGTTGCTTTTGAACCTCTGTAATACATGCATAAAATTTTCATGAATGTTGCATGATGAACAAAAAAAACCCTAAAGATAAACTGCTTTTCAAATTATTCATTGTAGTTGGTACAGAGCTTCAATCAGACTTGTAAATAGCTATTCAGAGCTTTTATAGGTTGGAAGACAAGATGAGAAGATGTTTCAGGCCCATGATAAATAATAAAAGAGGAGTAGGGGTAAAGCAGCGAAGATGGTTACCAACATTTGCAAATGTTGGCATTTGGCTTTACACGGACATCTGCCTTCCAAGTACTTCAACTGTAGGGACACAGCTATTTATTTTATTTATTTATTTTATTTGTCAAAAGCTTACAATATAACAGAAACAAGAATAAACATAAGTTTAAATACAAGAAATAGGGACTAATAATTGAGGACAATAGGACAGGGATGGTAGGCATGATTGTGCACTTATGCATGCCCCTTATAGACCTTGTAGGAATGGGGTCAATAGAGGTTAGTTTGATGGTAAAGGAGTGGGGGTTTGAGCAGGTGACAACAGAATCAGGTAGTGAGTTCCAGACATTGACCACTCTGTTGCTGAAATCGTACTTCCTGCAATCGAGTTTGGAGTGGTTTACATTTAGTTTATATCTGTTGTGTGCTCTTGTGTTGTTGTTAAAGCTGAAATATTCATTAACTGGTAAGACATTGTAACATATGATTTTATGTACTATGCTAAAGTCCAATCTTAGTCGGCATAGTGCAAGGTTGTTTAAGCCTAGAATCTCAAGTCTGATGCTGTAGAGTATTCTAAATGCCAAAGCAGTTCTAAATATTAATTAACTACGCAAATTATTCCCTATGCAAATTATTTCCATTTGGACAGTATATAATGGCACAGTACATTTAGATCATCAAGGATTTCTGGTGAAATTTGTAAACTACCTTAGCAAAATTGAATTGTTGCATCAACACATGTTGCTACTGCTCAGCTAAGATACAACATGCCAATCAACAAACTGAATTATTAATTAATAATATCATCACTGACATTTTGATGCTTAAAATGCAAGGTGAGTCTGCAACAGATCCATTTTCCTCCCTGAGGTCAAAAACAAATGAGAGCTTTCCTGACAAAGAGCTGCGTTGGCAAAAAAAACAACAACTACCTGCTGTTTAGCACCATTTTAAAATCCCAGCCTCAAAAAACAACCAAAAGATAAGCAGAGTTTCAGTCTCGTTCAACATTTGCCAAAGTGACTGATCATATGCCGTAGAGTGAGGAAAAAAACATCCAAATTGATTCTATCAAACACAATCAGCTAAATCAGAGATGTCAAATTGGTGGTCCACAGGCCAGATGCGTCACGCACAGGCCACGCCCACCACAGCTCTGCGAAGGGAAAAAACATTGTGATACATCCCGTGACATCAACGTGACGCAGCAAATTTGACACCCATGAGGTAAATGAATCTGTTTCCAGAAACTGTTGCTTTCAAATAGTGTTTTTGTGTGTATGTGTGAATGAAATATACTCCTCACCCTTCATGCCTTACTAGTAACATTCCAAATCTATCTCACTGACCATTGAGTCGAGTCAACTTTGAACACTAAGACTCTGCCGGACCATCAAGAATATATAATACGTAAGAATTTTTATTGCTTGAAGGCTCATCCTAACAAGCACATAACGGCTTATTATCACAGCATCCTTTTATCATAACAAAAGGATGCTCAGAGAAAATGCATATTACCTCTTAGAAGCAAGTTTGCAGGGAATAAAAGCAAAGTTCAAGATGTTCTCCCAACCTTGAAAAAGCCAACAAAGGTCTCACCCAGATGGGAGACCACCAGAAATCTCATCCTTTCCTATAGTAGGAAGTAAAAAAATAAAATAAAAAATCCTGGTAGAAGCCAACTCAGTTCTGCTGCCAAGAAAACTGCACGAATGGCTCCTTTTCAACCACTAGGTTAGGAGCTTGACTCAAAGGGCACCAGCTTTTGATAAGCCCTTAGTCAGTTTACGTCGTTGTCATTGCACCTCGTACAACAAAATTAAATAACCATCTTCAGTGTACATTATGACTATGAAGATAAACACAAACACACATCCTTCACATTCTGTACATTTGAATGGAAAACCCCTGACATTGCATTAATATTGCACTATACAGTAGAATTCAATTACTGCTCTGGGATAGAATCCTAACCCTAATCCTTGCCCCTCTGGTTGTGGATTAATACCATCTACAAGTTTTGTTTTACCCACTTTGGTTGTTCTCTTTCCCAGTTAAAGCAGAAGATGCTTCCTTATCAGTTAGGGCTGCACAGTCACCTGGATTCGAAAGGCCAAATGTAATGGATCTTATGGACCACTGTTGAGAACATCCTGAGGCAACCATACCTGTTCCTGGGATCAGGTCTACAGAAGCAGGCCCAGGAGCCTAGAAAAAGACACAGCTACTCCAAAGTTTTCCAACAGATGCTAGGTACCCCTTCAAATCCACACGTCTGTTCAGTCTTGTTACTCTGTCTTCATCCTACAATTTCCTCTTTTGTTGCTGCTCAGCTGCTGCACTTGGATGTCAGAACTAATCTGCCCTGCTCACTGCAATTGACAGGGAATCTACAAGGCAGCGAGAAAGCAGAAAAATTAAAAATCGAGACAGGGAATGCAATTGCCGCTGTTATTCTTCCGAACCCATTTACTAAAGCACAAGAAACCTGAACTTCCATTTTAAGTCACTCTTTCTGCACAGTCATTTAACAGTTCAAGACTTGCTAGAAGCAGATTCAAAATTAAATTTCCTCTTTACGAAATGCAGAGCAATGAGAAATGAGTGAGGGGCAGTATGTCAGTCCAGAGTAACACTTTGCTTCTACCATAGTTCCATGCCTGGTTTGTATTGTACAACACAAACCAGATGGAATGATAGAATTATATCTTTATGAAAGATCCAATTAAATACGTCACATAAATTAACTTTCCCCAACATCTGCCATCCAGATGTGATCAACTCCATAATTCCCATCCTGAAAAAGAATGTACGAAAAGTTGAAATATGATTGCATGTATGCCAAAGTTTAGGCAGGTAACTAGTTCCTAAAAATTCTTTTCCCCTTATTTAGTTTAACGTCCAACTCCAGAAAGAGTTCTTAGAAACGCAGACAAATATTTTATAAAATTTAAAACAATTAGTTATCCCTGAAAGTACACCGCCTTAAGATACTCTGAGTAAATATACAGAGTAAATGACTTAAAACAAATGCCAGATATTCATCCATGAAGTTTAAAATCACTCCAGGAGAGAAATCACTCTCCCTGCCTAGCATATCAGTCCACAAAAAATAAAAAATATAGATCAGTGTTTCTCAGCCTTGGTCAACAAGATGTATGGACTTCAATTGCCAGAAATTCCCCAGAGAGCAGAAGAAACACTAATGTAGACAATAGTCAGAGGCAGAGAGTTTATTATTGCTTCTCCGTATCAGATACTGTAAAGAAATCAGGGCAGGTGAAGAAGCAAGTGCTCTTCAGCTAGATAATCATGGCACCCCATTCATCGGTGTGACTATAAATATCAAGCCCAAGCAGAATGATAACCAGAACAATCTTAGGGTCACATTGTCATGGAAACACTAATGATCTCTCCAAGACACCAATGATTAAGAATGGCAAACATTGACTCATAAGTCAATTGTACGCAGAGCAGTCAAGAAGGCAGAGGTTTTGAGGTAGCAAATAATTTTGCTAACCTTGCCTTCTGGAAGGTAGAAAATAACAGACACTGGCTCGCTTCCATCCTTTTCGGTTTCTGGAGCTATCTATTTTTCTCTTCTTCAAGTCTGATTGGAAGACTTTCTGCGCAGCCCAGATTCACTTCGTGTGAGATGGATGGCCATATAAATTTACCAAATTAAAAAGAAAAAAAAATCAAGCTTTTTAAGCACAGGAGAAGGGAGTTCACCTTCACTAATTTCTTTCCCCCTCTTTTCCTCTTTCCACCAGAGAACAGGCTTCCTACTGCCCGAAGAACCAACCCTGCCCAGGAGGCCTCTAAGTGACATTTTCCAATGTTCTTCTTCTAAAACTACCAGGATGCAACTTCAAAGGAAAAGGCCCTTCAGAGGGCTGGAGGTGGATCTTGATATAACATTGATTAGCAACACATTTTGACAGCTGTATCTTTTCCTACAGTTGCACAGGTGGTTCTGCAGCTGTGGTCCAAAGCTGAGGAATGATGGGCTTGGCATCAGAAATTGCTGACAGGTTACAGGTGCATGGATTTCTCTTGAATCAGGGGCAGTGATGCCTTTAAGTGGGAGACTACCCTGGAGAAAGAGGAGCCAACAGCATGCTTTTCTTGTAACTCAAGTCCTGAAAGCAGGGGTGTGTGTGTGTGTGTGGTTGTAGGATGGGGTACCTATAGAAGATTAAAAGGTTCACAGGCTTACTCGCACGTGATTCCCAAGATCTGCTTCAGCGGGCAAGCTTTTCTTGGCTGTCCAATGGCTACTTCTAGCTGCTACTGAATCTGGGATTTGAGCTGGACTCCTTAGTTACCAGTCTCTCATGGGAAACCTTCTGGGAGATGCCCTCCTCTGACTCGCTTCCCTCTTCAGCTCCCTCTGGGTTTAGTAACCTTTCAGAAAAAGACTAGACCTGGGTTCAGAAACAGCCCGTTCAAGAGGCCACACAGGAGCAGGGGGGGTAGGCCAGATGCATTACCAGCATGAGTTACTTAGAATGGCTAAGCTTGCTGTGTTCTAAGCCTTTGGCTAAACTTGCCTTACGGAGAGGGACTGGTGCTTATTTTTGCCATGGGGAGGCAACGTTGGGTGGGAGTGGAAACCATCCCCACAACCCCCACTCCTGCTTAAATGTTAGTGCTCCTCACGATGGGTCTAAGAAGCCCTACGGAGAGGAATAAATGTTTGTGTTGGCTTGGGGCTACCAAATTCAAATTCAATCTGCTTAGCGGCAGAGCTCATTGGAAGCTCAATCCTCTTCCCACTTATTTGGAAGCACATGCAAAGGAATTCCTGTCCTAAGAGATGCATTTTTGGAGAACAGCCTGGGTGGTCCAAATCGGCCAGTCTTTTAACTTCTTAGGCTGAGGAAGTCTTATTCTCTCTCCTTTCGAGAAAGGTCAAAACAACAACTGCAGAATCCCACACAAGAATTGCTTTCTCCAGAAGGGCGAGGTGGAGAATTCATGTATTTAGCGCAGGACCTCTGAAACTCTGCAGTATTGTAATCCCTAAAACAGAATAATAGAGTTGGAAGGGACTTTGGAGGTCATCTCGTCCAATCCACTGCTCAAGCAGGAGAGCCTATATCATTCTGGACAAATGGCTTTCCAATATTTTCTTAAAAACCTCCAATGATGGAGCGCACCCACAACTTCTGAAAGCAACCAGTTTCATTGATTATCCTCACCGACAGGAAATCTATTATTATTTGTAGGTTGGATCCTTGAAAAAGTTTCCATCTGCTACTTCTTGTCCTACCCAAGGTTGTTTCTCAACCGTGGCAACATTAAGACGAGTGAACTTCAACTCCCAGATTTCCCCAGCCAGATTCTGAGAGTTTAAGTCCACCATCTTAAAATCACCAAGGTTGAGAAACCATGAAATAGTCTTGACTTAAATAATAAATGAGTCAGGGCAACTGAATAAAACGAACCCTCAATTTCATTAGGGACAGAACTATAGGGATCTCCTCTATTTCTGCATCTTGCCTGTGGCAAATCAAATGGAGCAACTCATGTTGTTCTTGGCAATAGTGACAGGTTATGTACCATTGAAAAAAAAACCTTTCTACTTGATTTTTTTTCAGCTTCCTAGTCCGGATTTCATCTCTTAGCAAGGATGATCTCATATGGTCAAAAAAGTCAAGATGGTGGCCATGGTATAGCCAAAGTTCTGCCTAATGTACATAAAAAAACAGACAGCTTCAGCTGCATAGTCATGGCCATCATGGCTTTTCTGACCATATCCTGTGGATAACCATGGTATTTCTAATAAGATACAGTACCATTTACATTCTGACCCTAGAAATCATCAATCTTTTGCTGCCTCCTCATTACTTCTCTCCCCCCCCCCCCCCATCCCTCATCTTTCTTATATCTTCAAACTAAAATAAAAGTGGTTTATCTGCAAAGAGCATTCCCACCAAATTATTGCTGGGGCTTTTTAATTGTATTTTTCAGTCTTTTTAAATTTGTGACTAGTGAAGCAGTAAACTGAAACCCCCAGCCTGACTGTCGGTTTATTACTGTCCTGCTGGGAAAATTTATCCTTGTTGGCTCGATGGATGTTCTGGGGACACACAAGAAGGACCAAAGAAACCTGCAGGCAGTCCATCTTTGAGATAAACATATATTAAGGAGCTCAGAACTAGCTGTCCTTCAGTCAATAGGATGGGGCCAAATTTGGTACAGGAAAGAGGTACCAAATGAATCAGGATCAAATACAGGCTAGATCTGGTCAGGACTGCAAAGAAAAACAACTCCAGAAAAAATGTAACACAAGATTTATGCAGAATCACAAGACTTCTGCAAAACCCATTACAGTGCTTGGCTACTGAGAAGAAATTACAGAGGCTTCCTGTGGTCACTCTTGCTAAAGGGGCTGTGAGAAAAATCAAGGAAACAGGCCTCTGCATGCTTGCACTAATTTAACAGAATTAACAGAATAACAGAGTTGGAAGGGAACCTAGAGGACTTCTAATCCACCCCTCCTGCTTGGAACTTCAGTCATCCCAGATGTGGAGCAACAGCATGCAAGCTTGTCAACCTCCAGAAAAGCCTGCTGTCAAAATACAGTATAATATATACATATTCATTCTCTCTTTTTCCACACACACACACACTCATTCAAACACACACATACACAAATATAGCGGGTGCTGGTTACAATTTCTTTTCCCCATTCCTGGCTGCGGAATTCTGGGAGTTGAAGTCAACCCATCTTGCAGTTGCCAAGGTTGGGCAGGGCAAGAAGTTAAGGGATGGAAAGTTATCACGGAAAGATCCAATCTGGAACTAAGAATAAAACTTCCTGACTCTGACAACACTTAATCAGTGGAACACCTTACTTCTGAAAGTTGTGGGTGCTTCATCACTGGAAGTTTTAAAGAGATTGAACAATCAGAATTGTCCAGAATAGTATAGGCCTCCTGCTTGAGCAGGGAGTTGGACTAGAAGACCTCCAAAGTCCCTTCCAACTCTGTTATTTTGCTATACTATTATTTTTGAGTCGACCGCAACTTTGTAAGGTACCTGTTGTAGGAATGCTCTATTGTGTACTGTACAGGGGTGGGATACAAAAGGGTTAACTACCAGTTCGGGATTTACGAGCTTCCCTGCCCGTGAGCCGGTGCACCTGTAAATCATCATAAATCATCATTAGAACGCTGCCTGCCGAGAAGCAGCCTTTGAAACAGCCCTCTTTTCTTGTTTTAACTGCAGCTGTGCCTCGTTCTGCAGCTGAAGTTGAAAAAAGATCAGGCAAGAGCCCAGGTGGGCGGGTGGGCAAAAACATCAGCAGACATAGAACCGGTTCTATGTCTGCTGCTCTTCAGAGCTACCGGTTCTACAGAAGTAGACAGAACCAGTAGAAACCCACCCCTGGTACTGTGGTTACGGGCTGCCTGGTCACCCCTTTTCAGACTAAACCAGAAGTCTCCAACCTTGGCAACTTTAAGACTTGTGGACTTCAACTCCCAGAATTCCTGAGCTAACATGACTGGAGGAGGAATTCTGGGAGTTGAAGTCCACAAGTCTTAAAGGTTGGAGACCCCTGGACTAAACTGTGTGAGCTTACAGGTAGTCCTTGACTTACAACAGTTGAATTAGTGATCATTGAAAATTACAAACGGCACTGAAAAAAGTGAGCTATGACCATTTTTCACACCATAGCAGCATCCCTATAGTCACACAATCAAAATTTAGATGCTTGGGAAATGGTTCATACTTATGGCAGTTGCAGTGTCCTGGGGCCACATGATCCCCTTTTGTGACCTTCTGACAAACAAAGTTAATGGGGAATCCAGATCCACTTAACAACCGAGTTACTAATTTGATAAATGCAACAATTCACTTAACAACTGGGCCAAGAAAAGTCATAAAATGGGGACAAACTCACTTAATGTTTCACTTAGCAACATAAAATTTCGGGTTCTATTGTGGCCGTATTAACTCAAGGACTACCTGTACCAAAGTCTTAAAATTTTATTTTAAGTCACCCGGAGCCACTAACTGGCACTGACGCATGGGAGTTTTGCAACACAACCCTCCATTGGAGGATCTCCACATACAGGCAATCCTCACAACCACAACGGATCCCAACATTTATGTGAAAGTGAGAAATCTGTTCAGTGACTTTGCTCCGTTTTTACCACTTTTTTTGCCACAGCTGTTAAGCACAGGTGATCTTTAAGTGAATCTGACTTCCCCATGGACTTCGCTCCTCAGAAGGTCCCAGAAGGGAGTGTCACATGACTCTGGGACATTGCAACCGTCATAAATGCGAGTCAGGTGTCAAGCACCCAAATGTAAATCACCTGACCAGGGGGGACTCTGCAACGGTGGTAAGTGCGAAAACCCGTCCCAAATCCCCTCCTTTTTTTTCCAGTGCTCTTGTAACTTTGACCCGTCATTGAACGAACTGTTGTAAGACGAGAACTACCTGTAATGGCGAGGTTCAAAGCCATTGCCCAGTTCACTTTCTAGCCAACCTATGGGGGGGGGGGGATCCACTGCCCCAACTTTCCCCTGCAGGCAACGGGAGAACCAGGGGAGGCTCCAAGAAACTATTTCGAACTCTCGTGTCTCTTTGAGGCGCGGGGCTCCGGTTTCCACGGCGCGGGGATGCAGCCACCGGCTGTTGGGGGGGGCGGAGGAGGGGCGGAGTTTCCATGCCGGCTCCGCAGCCGCCTGTCCCGGGGAGCCTCTTCCCACAGCCGGAGGAGCCGCTTCAAGAGAGCGAGCCGCGGAATCGGGGCGGGGCAGAGGAGAAGGCAGGCAGCGCCTGGGAGCCCTTGAAGACTCTCCCCCCACACACACACACACCCTCCGGCGCCGCCCCCGTCCCTCCCCCCCTCGCAGCCCCGTCCCGCCGATTCCCGAGGCGTCTCGGGGCAGCGCAAAACCTCCTCAGGTGGGGGAGCGCCTCTCGAGGGAAGGAAGAAGGTGGAGGTGGGGGGGAGGTGGGAGGCGGGAAAAGATTGCCCGCTTCGGTTGCCCTAAGCGTTAAAACTGAGGCACGACCTCCCGGCTTCTTCTTTGGGTGGGTGGGTGGGGGCAAATGTTGAGGGCGTCCAAGACGGTTCCAGTGAAGACTTTGGAGGGTTTACTCCGTTCGCGAAAGAAAGGCGCTCCTTGTTGTTTTTTTTGCAGTGAGGGGTTTTCTCGGGAGTGTCCTCCGTCCATCCCTCTCGCGGCGGGATTTCCCTCCCTCATACACACGCACACGCACACACAACACCCCTGCGAGGTAGGCTGAGCCGTGAGGAAAAGAGAGAGACAGATATAGATAGATAGATAGATACGGTAGGTAGATACGGTAGATACAGTAGGTAGGTAGATACAGTAGGTAGGTAGATACAGTAGGTAGATAGATACAGTAGGTAGGTAGGAAGATACAGTAGGTAGGTAGGTAGATAGGTAGATACAGTAGTTAGGTAGGTAGGTAGGTACAGTGGGTAGGTAGATACAGTAGGTAGGTAGGTAGATAGATACAGTAGGTAGATAGGTAGGAAGATACAGTAGGTAGGTAGGTAGATAGGTAGATACAGTAGTTAGGTAGGTAGATAGGTACAGTGGGTAGGTAGATAGGTAGGAAGATACAGTAGGTAGGTAGGTAGATACAGTAGGTAGATACAGTAGGTAGGTAGGTAGATAGACAGACAGACAAACAGACAGACAGATAGGGAGGATAGAGAGAGCGAGAGAGAGAGAGAAACCCTTTTCCCCGCTGTCTTTCTTCGCCCGAGGGAGCAGCGGACGTAGAGGCCCGTGTTTCCCCACCCTCGAAAGGGGGAGACAGTGTGGTTTCTCCGGAAAGCAAGCAGCCCCAACCGCGAGATGGCGGGACTGAGGGGTGGGGGCGTCCTCCCGA